GAATTTGGATTAATCCTCCTGCCTCAAACTTCAGACTGCTGGGATCAGAGGTATGCACCACACCTACACATTTTCTTTGATTGACTGTCTTGCTAGTTGGATCTAGCATCTATGGTGTGTTTCACATTATAAATCTCACCTGAAGGTTTGATGTAAAGCCAGGTGTGGTGGTGCACAACTAATAGTTTCCATAAACTATTACACTACATGCCCTTTGCAATGCAGAGGAAGAGATATACGTATGGACCCAATCAACATCAATTTCCTTTGTTCTTCAGGTCTTTAATATTCAGTGATGGTGAACCTTTTAGTGCTTTCAATGATAACAAAGAGCAGGCTGTGGCACACGTGCCATAGGGTTGCCACCACTGATCTAGGTGTTTCTACTTAATGATATTCTGTGCAGTATCTTAACCAAAGAGATAGTATTTAAGTCTGAGAAAGCATCAGGATGTTTCTGAACAAAACAAGGGGTAAAAAATACCAACAACCAAAACAAAATCCCGTTTTGTCTACTTTTACAAATAATCTCAGTCTAGCTTTTGATAGTAGCCTGTCTTTATTAGGCTATTTTTCCCTAACAGTAATGTCCTAAAATTTTGGAAGTTATACCTATTGGATTCAGGGGAATGACCCCAGTTTTAACTATAGTCAGATACATAATTATTAAATTTTTGAATACCTATAATTTGATTCTAACATTTTTCCATATTATTAAAATTTTACATAAAAAAAAAAAACTTAGTTTGGTTTCTAGACCACAGTGCTGCACTTTGTTAAGGAGTTATACTCATCAAGTAAACTATTAAAAAATTGAAGGAAATGGAAATTACATAACAAGAAATTTGCACACATCAAATTGACAAGGATAAAAATTACTAAAATGCTCAGGTGTTGGTAAAGGTGTGGGAAACTTACATATTCTGCTGCTTTAGTACAATTTGTGAGAAATTTTTTGGAGGACAGTATGATAATAAACACCAAAGACCTGAAAGTATCTCTGATACACAAATTGTACTTTGATGTAAAAATTTCATTACTAAGAACTTTTATAAGAAAATAATTAGGAGCCAGCCAGGTATGGTGGAGCACAGCTATAATCCCAGCACTCTGGAGGATGAGGCAGGAGTATTGACAAGAGTTTGAAGCCAGATTTGCCTACAGTGAGTTCAAGGCCAGCCTGAACTATATAGTGAGATCCTGTCTCAAAAAAAAAGGATTTGGAAAACAAGAATATTTATCCAAGCACTGTTACTCATAGCAAAAAGCTAGAAATAGGTGACATGTCCAAAGGTAAGGAACCAAATTTCCAACATCCCCAAGGAAACTACATTGTAGCTATTCATGTTAAAATGAATGTGTATATTACTTTAAAGATTACAAGTATGGGCCGGGCATGGTGGTGCATGCCTGTGATCCCAGCACTTGGGAGGCTGAGGCAGGAGGATCCTTGCCAGTTCGACACCATCTTGGGCCACAAAGAGAGCTCAAGGTCAGCCTGAACTGCATAGCAAGACCGTCTCAAAAAAAAAAAAAAAAAAAAAAAAAAAAAAACCACCAAAAACAAACAAACAAAAAGATTACAAGTATGGCAAACTTACGTTTGCTTTAAAAAGGCTGGGCACAAAAGATTTTTGAAGGCTGTTACCAACTGGTATTTCTGGATATGTAGGTTGTATATGTGTACTTTTAATATTCTCTTTTTTGTGTCTTTTTTTTTAGTTCTCTATACAGAATATTGGTGTAACTTACAAACCAAACTTCTTTTATTGAAAGACAAAATTAGGGCTATCAGAACTATAATTTGGCCTAATACGGTTGAATAGCCCTTACTGTTTGTTTCTTTGACCATGTCATCCATTCTGTATGAGACACTATATTTTGCTTGGGTCACATGCTGCTAGATGAGGTAGGAGGGACATTCTCCTGACTTAATTCCTATGGCAACACAGAATTAGGGAAAAAAAACCTTAGATATAATTTAATATAGTCTTTTTCATTTAACAAAATAAGAAACATGAGAGAGGTCCAATGGGGCCAGGCATGAGGATACACATCTGTAATCCTAGCTACTACTTGGGAGGCTGAGTCAGGAGAAATCCAGTTGTGAGCCCAACTTGGGCAACTTATTGAGATCTTGCCTCAAAATTTAAAAAGGGGGTGAGGATATAGTTCAGTAGTAGAGCACTTGCCTAGCAGAGGCAAGACCCTAGGGTTCAATCTCTAGTACTATCAAAAAATTGTGAACTTTATTATATCTAAACCCTTGAGTATATTTTTGTGAGCACTTCTGCTATATTACCTGAGTTCAGTGGCTGCCCAAAAGATTTGGTTGTCCAAATCCAAAGGACTTGTGCAACTGAACAAATTCCTATTTTTTTTTCATGGAATACCAACTTCTCTTGATCAAAATATTGACATACAAATCAGGATTATTCTGATTCAGGTATCTGACAGAATTCTGTAAAAAATGCAACAAGCGAAGCGCACTTCTGGGAAAAAATCTGACAGTAAGTGTTATTGGTTTTTTTGGTTTTTTTTTTTTTTGGTTTTGTTTTTCTGGTACTGGGAATTGAACTCATGACCTTGCGCTTGCCAGGCAGGTGCTGTGCCGCTGAGCTAAATCCCCAGCCCCCAGGAAGTGTTATTAATGATAAAATTCCAGCTTTCAAGTGAAAATCAGAACTTTGGAAAACTGTACCCCAGTGAGCTTGACAGGAAACACTTGAAAACTCCTCTTAGACAGATGAGGACATTAAAGAATATGATTGATATTGAATAATGAAATATGTGAGCATTAGGAAGATCTATATAAAACACTGAACCACTAATTTCCAAATGATTTACATTTGACATTACAAAATCACATATGCATAGAAGATCCGCTTAAAATATAAGATACACCGATTGATTTTAGTGAAACAGGAAGAAAAGCGCATTGATATGATTTCACATTTCACTTTGCAACTAAACTTTAGAAAACTACCATTTGCTGAACTATGGTGTGATATTAAAGAATACCTGTGACTTTGTTTTTAAAAGCTATTGAAATATTTCTTCCATATATAAGTGTGAGGCAGGATTTCCTTCATTTTTCGCAGTCCTGGGGATTGAACTATTCACACTGAGTTTTATCCCAGCCCTTTATAAATTTGTATTTTGAGACAGAGTCTTGCTAAATAAATCATTGTTGCCTTGGCTGGGCCTGAACTTGTAATCCTCCTGTCCTGGCCTATCAGAGAGCTGGGATTATAGGTATGCACCAACATGCTTGGCTCTTCATCTTCTACAAGCAAAACAAAATACAGCAACAGATTAGATGCAGAAGCAGATATAACAAGCAGGATATCTTGTATTAAGTCACACATTAGTTTTGCAAAAATGCAAAACAGTATTGGTCAATCTGTGGAGAAATTGGAAGCCAGCCTATGCACTGCTGATGAGAATGAAAAAATGGTATAGTTGGAGATCAAAGCAGTATGGCGGTTCCTCAAGACATCAGACATAGCATTAATAAATGACCAGCAATTTCTACTTCTAGACATAGCTCAAGAAGAATTAAAAGCAGTGACTCAATTATCTGCAGTCCAATAATCACAGCAGTATTCAGAAGAGTCAAAAGGCAGAAGCAGCCTTTGTCCACTGATGAGTGCACACACAAAATATTAATGCATTTAGTACTCTTTTATAAACTGGTACTTTAAAAGAGTGTTCTACTTTAATTTCTTATAGAGTAAATATGGACACATATAACCCACATACAAACAAGTTCTTAGGTCCTGAGACTAAAAAAAGTTGAAGAACTGCTGTCTTATTAGGAGATTTTGTCTCTCTTCTCACACCTGCATTATGTGAATGTCTTCATTTGTTGGCATAGGTTCATTGGAGAACTGTGCCACTTCTAGCCTGGAGACTAGTAAAAAATGGCAGCCTAAAATATAGTCACAATCGTCACATTAACTCTACAATTACCATTGTTCCCTGGATGTACAGAAAGTACAAGGACTGAGTAACACAAAGCTCCACACAGACAAGTGGCCCTGTACAATGGCAAGCTGTACAAAGCTTCAATGCTGACACTGGATATTCCAAAGTAGTTTTGCAGGTATCTAGCAGAAAACAAACCTTTCCTTTCTTCGCTTGAATCTTTGGATTTACAGTTCTGGGCAGATCTGGGAACGGGGTGGTAGTGGCATTGTTTCCTAAAAACCAGGGCATCTGTGCAAAGAATTTAATTTCTCTCACCATCTCGATACTGGTCTGTTGCAGAGGGGTGTGGTCACAAAGCTAGGAAGCACTCCAAAAGAGCAGCCAAGGCTGCCCAACTGTGTCCAAGGAATAATAGCGGGCCCAGTTAATTCGCCCGGACAAGAGACAGAATATTTGTTTTATGGAGAAGAGATTTTAAAAAAAGGAAATTAGAAAGCATGGGCGGAGATAAATGGCAAAAGCAAAGCTGTTTCAGGTACGTATAGGAAAGGATTAGAATACTAATGTGGTGCACGACGGACAAATGAGAAATGAGAATTGTTATTCTTGAGTTCACAGCTGCGGCACTTTCAATGCCAGGTCTGCAGCTCTGAACGGGGGTGTGGGGGTGTGTGTAGCATTTTCAATCCCAGCTCTTCCTTCTGCATTCTTTTGGTTTGGGTCTGTGACCAGGCTCGCAGACTGCGGCTCAGGCGGTCCCAAACAAAGGAGAATGGACGCCCTCCCGCGGGAGCCGAGGAGGGAGAGGTGGCCCCAGGTTGCCGGGCAGGTGTCCCTAGCGGCCCAGCGCGCGCTGCGGGAGGAGGCCCAGGGGCGCAGGGGGCGCAGGAAGGCTGCCCGGGCGCCGGCACGGCCCGAGCGGGAGCCCCGCCCTGCCCGCGGTCAAGGTTACCCGCGCGTGAGTACCTGTGGAGGCCTCGCACCGCCGGAAGGCACCGGGCGATCATGGGCACGCGGAGAGGCCGGTAGCGGCGGGCGCGGCGTCCTCCGACTTGGGGGTGGGGCAGGCAGACGGCTGCGTTCGGTCCCGGGGCCTCAAACGCTGCGCTGGCTGCGCAGGCCACGGAAGCGGCCACTACTGCCGGCCCCGCCAGCGCCCTCCCACGTGCG